ATTCAAAGAAATTTATGCATCGAGATTTACATTCAGGTAATATTTTATTAAAAGAACAATATAAAGCTTATATTACCAATTTAGGTTTATTAATAACGTTTGATAAAAAACAAGGTCATATTTATGGAGTTCTGTCATATTTAGTACCTGAGGTCTTGAAAGGCGAACAATTCACTCAAGCTGCTGATATTTACAGTTTTGGGATTATTATATTAGAAAAATCAACTAGTCAAAGGGCTTTCGATGATACAATTTTGATACTAAATTATTAATAAAGATTTGTAATGGTTTGTGATCTGTATTTAATATAGATGCCCCAAAATGTTATATTGAATTAGCCAAATGATACATTAATCCTAATATGAATAAAAGACTCACAGCAGTTGAGATTCTTAAATTGAAGCAAACAAATACAAGTTTGCAACTGGTCATATATGGAGTACACATTATTTAGAGACGCATATAGGCGTTATTTTGAAACCATGCATATAATTTTAAGGGGTACGATTTTCTAAATAATGCTCATAGACATTATTACACAAAAATACGGTAACTAAAAAGTCTCAAAAAATATTATATCTAAATTTAAATATATTAAATCTTCTCTGCTTATATTATCTCCAGAATCTTACAACTTATAATTATAATATTAATTCATTTATTTAAAAATAGCACTTATAAAACTTTTCTATTTATTTATGTTTATATTAACTCTATACCTATCTTTGAACCTTCTTTTTCTCTTTCTATAACTAATGGTAGTTTAACTTAAATTAGTTTTTAAATAAAAAATTAAGAGATGATTTGCTATACTTACAAGATATAATAGATAGTTTAAATTAATATTATCTTGATATAATCTGTAACTAATCTTATCCTATATATAGCAGATTTAAAAAAAAAAAGATTTGCCCTTTATACAAATATAATTTTTTATAAGCACAAAATTTCTTGGAACTAAGTATATGACTATAAAGAAGTTAAACTGTATTAAATACTAACTAATTTAAATAAAAGCTAAAAATAATATTATATATCACAAATCTAGTTGAAAGTAACTTATTATATAATATAACCTATATTTAACCATTAGATAAAAGCTTCTATATAAAATATAGAAGATATAGCATACTAATTTTAGTTTAATATATTAGTACTCTTTAACAAAGTACTAGTTATAGTAGTTAAGTTATATAAAGAGTTGTTTAATAAAAGATAAACTATAAAAAGTACAAATCTAATACTAGTAGAAAAATGTTACTAAATTATTACTAAGTCAGAAAGTATATTATAAAGAGTACAAAAGTCTAAGCTCTATAGAGAGATCTATTTGTTTAGAAGTTGCTTTGAATAGATATAAAAAATGCACTAGTAGATCAAAGATAATTATAGTCCTAATATAGAAAAAATCTAAATATAAAATAATAGTATAGGATTAAAACATATTTGATAGTTTGCATCTAAAAATAAATTAGTTCTAAATTATAGTCTAAATTGTAAAAATATTAATGTATATGATAAATTATAAGAATTGAAAATAACAATAATAAAGTTACTCAAACTCTTTCTGATGATCCTCTGGTCAACAACAACAAAAATTGAACTACAGCAAAACGTATAGAAAAGCAATGAAGTGGATACTAAAACTTGGTCCTATAAATAGAAGCAGCTTGTTGTCAACAAAGTCTAAGTATCTAGACGTGAAATACCGAGGAGCAGGTGTCAAAAGAATACGGACGATTTTCTTTGGGGTCAAGTTTCTTTCTGGCGGACTCCCCAAAGTATTCGGCATCCAAACCAGAAGGTTTATTCTGGGAACAAGTCTGTAAAAGTAGCCAACGTGCACTTCTAAGTGGTAGAAATGGAGAAGCTGGACTATACAACTGTAACTCTTACAAGAAGAATCTCACATACTCTCGTTGGCCCACCACTTTTTTTCGAGAAAATTTTTGTAAAAAGTGGGCGTTTTAGCTTACCTCCTCCAAATGATCGACATCACGTGTACCAAACAAGTTGGCATTGTTTATCTCCCAAATCAGAACATGACAACAAACACGTATATACACGTGCCTCGAATGCAATGAATATCCGTACAAATGATGCTCCGAAACTCTGTTCCGACCTCTCTACCTTAAGCCAGTCGATGAAGTTTTTCCTATCGGGTTTTTACTTTCACATACTAGTTTAGAAAAAAATAGATGTAGAGACTAATTTGTCTAATCAGTATGTAATTTTTTCAAGCTACCCACAGGCTTATAACCGTGGCATTAAGTTTAGCAAATTGTCTGTTTTTTTTTTTTTTTTTTTTTTTTTTTTTTTTTTTTTTTTTTTTCCCCTTTTTTTTTTTTTTTTTTTTTTTTTTTTTTTTTTTTTTTTTGCTTTCTTTAGAATTTCTGTAATAACGAAACTATGGGTTGGGGATGGTATGTTTATATTCATCTTTCATATATATATAATGCTGAGAATGCTGAAATTGCCTGATGCTAAGGACGCTAAGAATTGAATACAAATAAATGTGTATATATAGATTTAAACACGTCTAGTAGTCTTTAGTAGAGGCCCAAATCTCAGCATCACTTGCGATATTCACTTGCGATATATTTATTTTAACCATTTTTAATCTTTAAATTATATAGTGGTTGTTCGAACAAAGTACCCGATTACCAAGCTTATCAATGGCCCATTAATAATGCCGACTGCGTAGGTAAAGGTGAAGTAAGTATCTTTTAATTTTTTTATTTTTATTATTTTTATTATTTTTATACTTTTGTTATTTCTCGATTATCATTATTTAATAATGATTTCTTGATTATTAATTCCAGGCATGCAAGCAAGCCTGCACAGCAACTAACACTACATGTATTCAAGCTTGTTCTGCTTATTATTCCAATAGGTTTGTTATTATCGTTATTATCGTTATTGTATGTTATCGTTATTGTATTCCGATTCATGTAGTTCATTAATCAATCTTTTCTATTTTTTCTATTTCCAGATGCGGTACTCCCAATCAACCACCATCTTATTATACCACTAGTGATGAAAATACTCCCCCATCTTATGGTCCTCCGAAAAATGATAGTACTTTAGGTGGTTCTGCAAATGGTACTTCTCCTAGTGGTACTACCAGTGGTTCTAACTCTTCTAGCTCTAACACCGCTAAAAGTGATGCTTCATCACTCTCAATGACCTTTTCTTCAATTAGTTCTGCAATTTCTGCTTTGGTTATTGTAGCTGCTGGAATGACAATGCTTTAAATTTGCTTTTTGTATAATATACATTTGTTTATATAATCCTTTCTAATTAATTAGATCTATTAAATTTAAATTTTTAAAATTTCTCTTTAGAATGATTTACTTTTAATCATTTTTTTCATTTATTATATTAGATTATTTCCTAATATTAGACCTTTTTATCGTTATCACAATAAATTTAATTAGCTCTTCATGATAATTGGTCATTGGATTTAGCTGGACCTTCCAGTGAAGTTAAATAAACTATCCCCCCCAGTTTCACCACAATAATCTCTCTCTCACGTGATTACGACCGTTTGAAATTAATATTTCGTTTAACGTTATTTTTTTCGCGCTTACACGGGGGAATTAAACAAACATAAAAATTAAAATTAAACATAAGTGTACCGGAAAATTCCGAACTTCTATTTGTTTATTTTTTGGGGGATCTCAGGAGACGGAGGAGATACCGTTAAACGAAAAATCATATATCAAGTCAACATTAATGTTAAGTAACATTAAGTAATGTTAAGTAACATTAAGTAACATTAAGTAATATTAAGTAACATTAAGTAACATTAAAGTAGGGTAAATTCTGGATGGTTTTTTTTTTGATACAGTTCGATACAGTTTTTTTAGAGGTGCCGTAACTTCGTCGTAACGTGTATTAAATAATTATAAAAAGTTACAGCAACATGCCGTAACCTTTTATAATTATTTAATATAGTTTCGGCAAAGTTACGACATCGTTGGGACGATTCCATAGGAAGACTTTCGTATGATTGGCTGTTTAAATTAATTTAATTTTACATTATTTATACAGTTTAAAGTACTTTTTAAAAAAAAAATAAAACTACGAAGAATAAACAAAAAAAAGAAGTATATAGAAAGCTTTATTATGGTTGTAGGACTCCAGTATTAAAAATAATCAAAATCATTTCTGGTTTTAGAGAAGTTAGCATTCTATCTATCTTTAAGAAGTCGCTATTATGCTAATTTCTCTAAAACCTTTGATTATTTTTAATACTGAAGCCCTACAACCCTAATAAATCTTTCTATATACTTCTTTATTTTTTTTAAAAAGCACTTTAAAATTAATTTAAACAGACAATCATACGAAAGTCTTCCTATGGCCTCTAGTTATGGTAATTATTTCATTTACCCCGCTTCGGCGGACCTCCAAAACGCGTTAACGTTTAAATGCTCTTATGTAATTAATTGTAAATACTGTATATAATTATTTTATATATCTGTATACGCTGTAACTGGGATAAAATACTTTAATTTGGGGATAAACCTATATCCTAACCTTAAAATCCTAAAAAATTTAAAATCCACTTAAATTCCGTACAACATATATATATTATCGTTATTGTAAAATTTTCTGTTACTAATCTTTGACCGATGATATCACTTTGGTATTGTTATCAATTCATGATTTCTGTTGATTGTAAATTAACGTTAACACATAAGGTAGATGTGGGTATTATGACGAAGTTAGCAGTCTTTACTAGTAAAGGTTTACTCAAACAATTATTTTATTTGATTTTTTTTAAAGTTTATATAGATTTTAACTTGCTTTACTATCGTAATACAAAAAAAACCGTGTTCTATATAAATTATACAGTGTTTCTTAGAGGGCCACGATTTTTATTTTAATCGACGATATGCAGATTGACGATATTTATTATCTATTATCGTACAATACATGTACGTACGTACGTACACGTTGGTGTTAGTGTACGGTGGTTGATCATTCGTCCTTTGTCCCGTGATTGTTATACAAACATAACATTATATAGGCAGAAATTTGAGGTTACATTTTTATTTCTCAAAATAGCAAGAGTGACAATTTAACAGTAAAAAAGCATTTTACAATTAGTATTTGAAGAACTAAGCATATCTATATGTTCTTTCATAAAAAAATCCACTTTTAAAAATTAAAATATATGATCTGACAGTGTGCTTGTGATAACTTTGCTGTGCTTTTAGAACGTTGAATCTCATGTATTATGAGCTGGTGTTTTTTTTTGATTTCAAATTGGTGAAGGTTTTGTTGGCAAAATTTTACCAAATCTTCTTTTTAGTAATTTTATATTGTCATTGTCATACTTGCTAGTTTTAATTTTTTTTTCAGCCTTCTTCTGTATAAACAACTGTAACATAATAATAAAGAATATATATTAGGGTACAAAAGTAATAATAATAATAATAATAATAATAATAATAATAATAATAAGACTTACAATAAATTTTAATAGTCTTAGAACTTCTGCTTTCATTGTATAAATTCTGTTCCAATGAGTTGCAATCATTATGGATCCAAATTCTTTATAAATATAAACATCATCTTTTCACATAAACAGTATTTTTATATTAAACAATTGTTCCATTACATCAAATACAACTTGATTATTATAAAGTATCTTCAACTTTTATTGTACATAAAATACACACATTTAGACAATTTTTTAGTTCTCTATATAATTTAAAACTATCTGTTGTGAACTTTGTTAAGTCAAATTTCATTGTAAGTCCTAATTGTTCTTCTACTAATATTTCTTTACTACTTTCAGTTTATGCTAGTAAATTAGCAGACTTTCCGTCAACTACCCACTGAGTTATATAGTTCAAACTATAGTTTTTTTGATATTTTGATATATATATGGGAATCTCAATACTAAAAATATTAAAAAGTATATATGTATAATAGAATATAATATAGTTTTGTATACATTTATACAGCAGTTTGTATAAACTAGATATGATTTTATTGAATTAATACTTACATTCACTATTTAAGTCTAATGAAAATATCCAATCTTTTAACCAGAATTATTCAATACATAATACTTACAGGGGTAATATAACCTTATATAAATGCTTTTTAATTTGGGTCTTTTCATTGTCTTCCTCAGGTACTATGATAAGATTATTTGTAATACGAACCTAATCATCAATTGACTTTCTTTTATTATTAATTAAATCCTTAAAGATATAAATTTTGTATTAAAAATGTTGCTAAATAAGTTATAATATTAAATATTGCTAATACAAATACTAATTTATATATACTTACAATGAAATAATCATTTATTACTTCTTTCCAAAGTGCAAGAATGTCTATATCTCTTTTTGGTTTGACAGATAAAAGTTTCGCATATTGATTAACACTTAAATAATTTGTAAATTTGATATCCTCCTTTATATCTATTACAACAACTATAAAAATTAAAAATATTATAGTATTTAATTTACAAAATTTTTCAAATTTCCATGATTGTCAGATAATTACTGACCATATAAAAATTCCTTATTTTAGTATTTTATAAAAAAATAAATCAAGTAAATACTTACAAATAAATATTGTTTTTTTTGTTTCTTCTTGAATTCTTTAAAAGCTAGAATAAATTCTTTAAAAAATTATGCATCATTATCAGCAAGACTAACTGAGGTTACTTGCAAAATTTGTTCTTCTATAACATTTTTCTCTTGATTACATGGAATAGTATTTGATTACAGGAGACATTATTATAATTATTATCAACTAAACCAATATGAAGATTAAATATGTTAAATATATGTATACTCTAAATATAATGTTCAAAATATTAAATTTCATACCTGAAATCATGTTAATGAATAGCTTTCTTGTTTTTTGACATTCAACTGCTATAATTACAGAAGATTCTTCAAACTCAGATTCATTTTTTGATAGCTTATTGTTTATAGCAACTGTTATCATTTCTGTTTCCTATATTTAAAATTTAGTTTTTATATATATACTATATAATATTAGACTAGCATATAGTATTTTTTCAAACTATATCATGTTATTTCTTTCTTTAAAAATATCATCAATAACTCTATAATTAAAAGATTCTTCTAAACATTCTAGTATAAAACTTGCTTTATTTCAAACTCTGGCATTAATTAATTTATTAGATCTTATTAATATGCATTGGTTTTTAAGCTTATGTTTTGTTTCTTCACAATGCTGAAGAGAAATCCATAGATGCTGTTAGATTAAATAATTAAGACAACCAAGAACTGTCTAATCTTTATAGTTTGTTTCACTTAAATAAGAGCTAATAGAATCCAAAAAAAGTCATTTTTAATAAAAAAAAATAATAAAATAAAATAAACAAAATATTATTAGTATTAAAGTTATTGATTAAGTAAGAATCTTAACTGGTACCAAGTTCAAGAACAGATACTATGCTTAAGAACTTGTTATAAGAAATGCATAATTCTATTACATTAAGCAATTCTAACGTGGCTCTGATTTTGCTTCCTCCTAAAAAACATCTATAAGCAATTTCCTAACTAAAAGAAATACAAAGTCTAGTTGTTCAATTGCCAGTTATCTAACAAAGACTTGTAGCTCTCTTAAAAAGTGGCTGAAAGAAACCCCAGAACGAAATGAAGTGCTCATTCCTTTTCTATCAACCAAGAGAAATATGCTGCTTATAAATGAGTTTTTATTATAAAGAGAAAAACTTAACACCATTCTTCCTTTAGAATTGGTAGACTATTTATAAAAAAATTTCTCACTTTATCTTAATAGTTACTTAAAGATACAAATACTAATTTGTTGAAGATACATAATTTTTGTTATATAAACAAAATATCGTATTAGTCAATCACATAAAATTGAATAACACAGATACATTATATTCATAAACTTAATTCCTTATCGTTTCTTTACTTTCTTAAAGAATAAAGATGAAAAAAGATCTGTATATATATTTTTTTAATGCTTATCAAACTGAATTAATATAATATTTAAGGGCCTATAGTTTACTATACTAGAGCTTGTTATCATTAGAGCTCTGTAGTAATCTTTGTATATATACGTATATAAAGTTTTAAACACACTAATTCTACTCTTATATATTATTATTCTTTACATTCCAAAATCTCTTCAACATAGTTTAGAAATCAGAATCATTCAAAACAGCCTCCAAAATTGTAGTGATATAAGATTAGTTAGTGCTACTTATTGGCTCTCTTCTAACTGTATA